CTTCAAACTCCTGGGCTCACGAGATTCTCCACCCCAGCCTCCTGAGTAGCTAGGACTATAGGTGTGGGCTATCACACCCGACTAATTTTTTAAAATTTTTTTTAGAGGTAGGGGTCTCACTGTCACCCAGTCTGGAGTGCAGTGGTACAATTATAGCTCACTGTAACTTCAAACTCCTGGGCTCACGAGATTCTCCGCCCCAGCCTCCTGAGTAGCTAGGACTATAGGTGTGGGCTATCACACCCGACTAATTTTTAAAAAATTTTTTGTAGAGATGGGGTCTGGCTATGTTGCCTAGGCTGGTCTCAAACTTCTGGTCTCAAGTGATCCTCCTGCCTCAGCCTCCCAAAGTGCTGGGATTACAGACATGAGCCACCTCACTCAGTGTGATGTTTTGATACATGTATGTATTGTATATTGATTAAATCAATACAATTAGCTTATCTGTCAACTCAAATACTTGTCATTTTTTTGCGGTGAGAACATTCAAAATGCTTCTGGCTATTTTGAAGTATACATTATTGTTACTTATGGTCACTGTGCAATAGAACGCCAGAACTTACTACTCTTGTCTAATTGAAACTTTGTACCTGTTGACCAAATTTTTCCCCTCCCCCCACCCACTCTATTCAGCCTCTGGTAACCACTATTCTACTCCATACTTCTACGGGATCAACTTTTTTAGATTCCATGTATGAGTGAGGTCATGCAGTATTTGTCCTTCATGTTAGGCTTATATCATTCAACATAATGTCCTCTAGGTTCATTCGTGTCGCAAATGACAGGATTTAATTATTTTTTACAGTTGAATAGTATTACATTGTGTATACATCTCACTCATTTTTTTTAATCCATTCATCCACTGATGGACTCGTAGGTTGATTCTATATCTTGTTTATTAAGAATAGTGCTGCAGTAAACATGAGAGTGCGGATATCTCTTCCTTTTCGACAGACTGATTTCATTTCCTTTGCATATACAGGTTGAGTATTCCTAATCTGAAAATCTGAAATTCAAAATGCTCCAAAATTCAAAACTTTTTGAGTATGGATATGATGCTCAAAGGAAGTGCTCATTGAAGCATTTCAGATTTTGGATTTTTAGATTAGGGATGCTCAAGTATAATGCAAATATTCCAAAATCTGAAATTGGAAATGCTTCTGGTCCCAAGCATTTCAGATAAGGGATATTCAACCTTTATACTCAGTAGTGGATCATATGATAGTTCCATTTTTAATTTTTTAAAAAAGCTCCATGCTGTTGTCCATAATGGCTGTACTAATTTACATTCCCACTGAGGTAGTCTGTTTTGTGTTGCTATAAAGGAATACCTGAGGCTGGGTCATTTATAAAGAAAAGAGATGGTCTCATAGTTGTGCAGGGTGTGCTAGAAGCATTGCACCACGGCTTGCATCTGGTGAGGGCCTCAGGCTGCTTCTACTCATGGCCAAAGGTGAGAGGAGCTGGCAGTATGCAGAGATCACATACTGGGAGAGGAAGCAAGGGAGAAAGTGGGGAGGTGCCAGGCTCTTTTTACAAACCAGCTCTAACAGGAACTAATGGAGTAAGAACTCACTCAAATACCGCTGGGGGGTAGGGGGGTGTTTAATCTATTCATGAGAGAGATCTGCCCCCATGATCCATACACCTCCCATTAGGCCCCACCTCCAACATTGGGGATCAGATTTCAAGATGAGATGTGAAGGGGTCAAACATCCAAACCCTAGCACCCACCAACAGTGTGTAAATGTTCCCCTTTATCTGTATCCTTGCCACCATTTGTTGTGTTTTTGTCTTTTTGTTAATAGCCATTGTAACTGGGGTGAGATGATATCTCATTGTGGTTTTGATTTGCATTTCCCTCTTTTTTGATAATAGCCATCCTAACAGGTATGAAGTGGTTTTAATTTGCATTTCTCTAATGACTAGTGATGTTGAGCTTCTTTCCATGTGCTCGTTGTCCATTTCTGTATCCTTTTTGGAGAAATGGCTATTAAAGTCCTTTGCCCATTTTTAAATTGGGTTGTCTGAGGTTTTTTGCTGTTGAGTTGTAGGAGTTTTTAAAGTATATTCTGGATATCAATCCCTTATCAGATATATGTTTTGCAAATATTTTCTTTCATTCTGTGGGTTGACTTTTCACTCTGTCGATAGTACACTTTGATGCACAGAAGTTTTACATTTTGATAAAGCCCACCATATCTACTTTTTCTTTTGATGCCTGTGCTTTTGATATTATATCCAAGAAATCATTGTCAAAGCCATTGTAACGAAGCATGTTCTCTTCCAAGTTTTATTTTTCTCTATATGTGCATCTTGTCTCTGTGTCAGTTTGTGTCTGTCCTGTCTCTGTATCTGTTTGTGTGTTTGTATGTGTCTGTTCATGTCTATGTCTGTCTATATATTTGTAAACCACTGAAGCTTATATATGTATTATCTCTTATTTTTTGCCTTATTTCTTTCTTCTTTTCCTTTTTTTGTCGAAAATACGATTTGAAAGTTATTAAAGACATAATGCATCTCCTAGAAATAATGGCATTTTTCTAAATAATCATAATCACTACTGCCTTTAGATTGGGCATGTAGGGCCCCTGCCTTGTGCTGCCTACCTTGGAGTGCCTTTCTTGAATTTTCTAAGTCTCCTCCCTGCCCAAATGCCTGAAAGGTAGGATACCTCAGGCTCTTCTCTTTTAGGCATCTCATTTTAGAATTATAATACATTTTCTAATTATATTGAAAATTGAAGCTTAACTTTATTTTGCTGATTTTATTGTTTATTACTGTATACCATGTTTTTCTTGTAAATTATTTTTCTCTTATTTCACATATTCCTTTAACTGGTTAGTGTGTATTTTTTAGTGTTGTAGTCATTAATTACTTTTCTTCTGTCTCTCTAGTACGGAGTTGAAACTCTTGGAGGAGGCAACCATTTCGGTCTGCAGGTCTTTAGGTAAGGGGGAAAAATGTGTGTGTGTATGTGTTTAGGGGCATTTTTTTTTTCAAATTTTCTGTTGTAAAATTTGAAAGTATAATATGAATTCAATTAATGAAGTGATTATTCTTTTTCGATGATGATAACAATAGTAATAATTATTTGTATTCATGGTACTTACTGGTGCTACTAGAAGGTACCATTCAGTCAATGGTAATAACACACATACTTGGCTATATTTATAGTAGTGGTAATGGACTCTGCTAAGCCATAGACACTCTTTCAGCTTGTTCTTTTAGTGAGTTTTGAAAAAAATCAAAGTATTAAGTTAGTTTTGTAGTTTCATGGACAGTTCCTATAGCTGTTATAGGACTGTTTGTCCTGTGATTTGCCAACTGCCCTGGCTGTATATGCTGTTATTGGCTATGTTAACCAGAATAATTATTACTTATTAAAATACATTAGGGATATATATTAGGAAGCTTCTCTGTAACAACTTGATGTTATGGTGAAGAGCATGGGATCTGGAATCATTTTATGACTTTAATTTCAGCTGTGCCATTTATTAGCTCAGCCTTAATTTCCTCATCTAAATTGAGGGTAAGACCAACTATTTTACAGGATTTTTGTAAAGAAAAAATTAGATAATATGAAATATCCAGCATAATGTGTAGCATCTATTCACCGTTTATATCAACAAATGTTACCTTTTTCAGGCCTGTTCTCAAATGCTTTAATTTCAAATTGGTAGCAATTGGAAAGGAATGTATATGCTTTAAAAAAAAAAATGCAGATAATTGGCCAGGTGTGGCTCACTCCTGTAATCGTAGCACTCTGGGAGGCTGAGGCAGGAGGTTTGCTTGAGCCCAGGAGTTTGAGGTTGCAATGAGCTATGATGATGCCACTGCACTCTAGCCTGGGTGACAGAGCGAGACTTTGTCTCAAAAAAAAAAAAAAAAAATCAGATAATTACACTTACATTGCGTTGTTGCTTTGAAAAGTAAAGATAATGTGTCTGTAGACTTAATAAGTGATAACAATATTCTGTTTTTAAGTCAAGCTATATGGTTAAGCTCCATATAACCTATATGGATAATTCCCATATAAGTTACTTTGCCAAAAACAGTCTTCGATGAAGATTTTTGCTGAGGCAGGAGGTTTGCTTGAGCCCAGGAGTTTGAGGGTGCATTGAGCTATAATGATGTCACTGCACTCTAGCCTGGGTGACAGAGCAATCCT